GGATATTTGCAATCACAGCAATGTAACTACATGCTAGAACCCCCCCCTACTAAAACTATGTTGAACATTAAGCTCTAGAATCATTCTTCAGTGAGATCAGCTAATGTTCCCCCAGATAAAGAAGAGTAGCACATGTTTTATTATGCTAATCATTTGTAATTGTGTATAAGATTCACTTTAGCATACTAAAAGGCCCAGGCCTATGTGCTGTCTTTCCTCCTTCTGATCTGACTAGGTAATTTTGCAACCTGAGCAACTGACTTAGCATGCAGACCCAGCTGTAGATGGCATAGTAAAAGGCAGGATTCTTTAGCACATAGACAATATCTCAGCCCACCTTAGAGGCTGGGCATGCAGTCTTTTGATGTGCGCCCGAACCAAGGCGCCAGGGTTCCAGAGAGAAATCAGGGCAGGAAATTACCTTTAATATTCAAAGACCCCTTGCCATCCTACTCCTTTTACTAACCCTTGAGCCCTGTATCATCAACAGGCTGGTCCAGATTGTCAGAGACCATGTGGGGGCTGTCCAACGGATAAGTGCTCAATACAAGCCCCTAGTAATCTTGTTACTTCTGTTTACCTTTAGACCATGTATCCTCAATAAACTGATAACTTTTATTAAAGATAGAATTAATACAGTCCAGCTAATGGTGCTAAGACAACAGTATCAGCCTTTATCTCCTTACAACTGTAAAACCTTATTAGACCCATGATTAGGTCCTTTCTTAGGATCCAGAGAAAGAGGGGAATGAAAGGGCAAGCTCCCAGATTCTATTTCAGCCAATCAGGACCTGGATCCTATTTCACCCAATCGGAGCTTAGTCCCTCTCTCCCCTCCAGTCAGCAAGAACACCCACCACCCCTGGACACTGCCAACTGACCAAGCCACGACTCATCACCCCCAAACTACCCCCAGGCCCAGCCAATCAGCCAGGGTCACGGCCATCACCTCCCCCAAACTGCCCTGGAAACCCATAAAACCTTTGTTCTGGCGGAAACACGCTCTCTTTCTCTGGCGTCTTGCCACTGCGTTGGTATAGATGAGAGATTGAGCTTGAGCTGCTCGAATAAAGGCTCTTTGCTTTTGCATCGTTGTTGGCTCCTTGGTGGTCTTCTGGGATTTGTGACTTTGGGCACAGCACAAATGTATACATTGACTCAATAGGAGTCCCTAGGGGAGTCCCCAATGAATTTAAAGCTAGAAACCAAGTAGCTGAAGGATTTGAATCAGTACTATTTTGGTGGTCCACCATCAACAAAAATGTAGATTGGATCAATACAAAGATTCATGAACTATATTCAAGGAGTAGCTAGCCAACTAGATGCTACCAGCAGGATGGCCTGGGGAAATAGAATAGCATTAGACATGATGTTAGCAGAAAAAGGAGTCTGTTATATTAGGAGGAAAACGTTGTACTGTCATCCCAAATAATACTACCCCTGATGGTACTATTACTAAACCCCTGCAGGGACTCACCACTTTAGCTAATGAATTAGCGGATAACTCTGGCATCAGTGACCCTTTTACATACTGGTTGGAAGGATGGTTTGGAAAATGGAAAGGTATGGTTGCCTCTGTTTTAACTTCCCTTGTTATAGTTGCAGGAGTTTTAACTGCTGTAGGATGCTGTATCATCCCTTGTGTGAGAGGCCTTACTCAAAGGCTTATAGAGGGGACAATAAACAAATACCTATGACCTACACCCAAGATAATCTTATGTTATTAAAAGATAAATTGACTATGAAGAAGAGTAAAAATCTATTAAGAGAAATTTTATAAAGGATCAAGCGTGAATTAAAATACATTGCTGGGAATAAAATCAGAAATTCTTAAATAAAAAGAAGGGGAACTGTTAGGAAAGAGCATAAAACATAGATGTGATTTATTCCCACCAGGATGTTTAAACATTTAACAGTGCATTAATACTGAGTAACTTCTATCAATTTCTGGAAAATGTGGAATGCCCAATTATTACAAGCGCTTGTCTTTAAATCAATTAATTTTTAGCAGTACCATCCGCAGGTAGAAAAGTATCTTATCAGTCCTCTGTGCAATTCTGCAAAATTAACATAAGAATTTTACTACTCTAGTCCTCTTCTAGGACAGCAGCTTTCCCCTGGGAGCATATCAATCAAGGCCACCTGCCCTGCCCCATGTGGTGGAGGGTATCTTTCCAGAAGGGGATTGGGGCAGTGGGGGATTTGAAAGGAGTGAGGGAAAGTAATATTGAGCAAGGAACAATGTAAAGAAGGGGTTTGGGCTGGTGTTTCTATTAAACCTTTCATTCCAACAACCAAGATAGAGGAAGGGAGCAAAGGTCTCGAATATTCAATAAGCACAGAGAGGCTGGCCCCCTTGTCAACCAGGAGGGAAACCTGACTTCCTGCCACCACTATTGTTACCCGTAGATCCATTGGTGTCATTGTGGAGGGGGCCTGGGATCCAGGCCATGTCAATCAGTCGCTGAAGTCAAAGCCACCAGTGCTGGTCCTCTTGATGTGTTCAGTTGCCTGGAGGGGAGAGAACTCAAGGGAGGGACTGACTTCCCTAGAGGGTGATTAAGTCCACTGTGTGGATTCCGCTTTGTAGGGAGCCTGGGATTAGGGCAAGCCCTTGCCTAGTGGCCCTGACTGCCACAGAGGAAACAGTTGCTAGGCGGGTGTGGGGTGGAGCTTTCTGCACGCTTGTCAGCAGGAGGTCGAACTAGGGAAGCCAGAATCTGATATTTGGCTTTAGAATGTTTTTCTGAGTTTTTGTTCCTTATCCCGGTTGTTGAAAACTTTAAAGGCAAGGTCTACAACCTCTTTTTTGGGGGTGTTTGGGGTCCATTTTCTAATTTTTGGAGCTTTTTTACACATGTCTGGGTAAGAGTGGGAAATGAAGTGGAGGTGTAGGCCGTCAGGGGAGTTAGGGCTGGTGTGTGTGTATTTGATTATTGCCTCTGAAAGGCTGTTCATAAAGAGAGCTGGGTTTTCATCTGTCCCCTGGGTAATTTCTCTGAGGTGATCATAGTTGAATTTATCAGGGTTTTTTGAGGACCCCATCTTTTGTTCAATATGCTCCAGATTAATTGAAAAGGAGACATGAACGCAAACGGGCTTTTCAGTGCTTGCTACGTCACAGAGGGGTAGGACAGGGCAAGAAGAGGTCTGGGGAGGTATTGGGTGGGAAGGGGAGTGCGAGACTATGTTTGAGGGTGGGGCTGGGATTTGGGGGGTTGGGTTAGAAGAGGCACACGTGCTGGAGGACATCAGAGAGAAGGAAGGGCAGGGGTGTTAAGAGGAAAAGAGGCAGATGCGCAGGAGGAAAGGAGGAGGGGGGAAGGGTCTTCAGGGGAGGCCGACAGTGGGGGACTTGGATTTTGCTGTGGCTGTTGGGGAGGAGTTACGGTAAGGTGGAGGGTAACAGAGGAGGGAAGAGGGGAGGTAAAGGCGCAATGTTGTCAGGGTAGGGGTAGGGATTTTTGTTCTGTGAGGAGAACTTTAGAGGATTTTTGTTTAGCTCTCACCAGGAGTTCTTAGAGTCAGCAAAAGGCACAGAGTATACAAAAGGCACAAGGGAGTGTTTTGGCCAGGCAAGCCTCCTGGAGATTCGGGGACAATAGGAAGATAAGTAATTGGGGAGACGGCTAAACTAGTTAGGAAAGTTTCCTGGGCTGAGGCAGGCTGTGATTAAAAAAGGAGAGGAGAAAAAAATCCTGCTGTGCTGAGAAAGAGGTTGTGGCCCTAGGCTAGGTTTCTCCTGCAGGCTAGGCCAGAGAGGTGGGGAGGCAGGTGGCTTGGATTTAGGGAACCTCTGACCATTTGCCAGACCTCTGGAGAAAGTTATCCAGATCTCAGGGAATTTGGAAATAGGAATTGCCCTCAGCTGGCCAGTGTGACCCATTATTGTTTATATTGAGGCCACATGGAGGTAGAGTAAAAGACCAGTTTTTTTGGTTTAATGTATCCTTTTAATCCCAATAGGGAAAGATAACATAGGAAAGAGCTGAGGGGGTGTCTCCTGTGTTTTTGAGAATTGCCCATTGTGGGAGGGTGAGAAAGGGTGGCTGGGCTTTGAGAAGCACGCTGTGGGGACGTTTCCCGCGATCAGTTTCCCAACCGGAGGCCCCTGGAGCCGGACTGTCCTGCACATCAGAAGGAAGCGTCCCCCAAGTCAGACTGCAGGGGTCCCCTTGTGGTGTTCTCAACTGGAGAACAGAGAGGAAGGGAAAGGATAAAGGAAAGAGGACCCAGAACAACTTTCTCTTGGCACCAAGAGAAAGCTGATGAAAGACCAAAGTCTTACCCTCCTGGGCATTGCGATGGATTAATGGCCGGTGGTGGACGTGTAGATTGAGGTCTGGCAAGATGGTCCCTGGACTGGAATTCGTGAGGGGGTGTTGGGTGAGGGGGGGAGGGAAACGGGGTGAGACACTGGAGGCTCTCAGGATCTAGGCTGTAGCTCGGAATGAGCTGCTTCCTAGGCTGCAAGAGAGCCCCTGCTCTTGTTTCCGGCTCCCGGGGTTTCGGTACCATGTGAAAGAAGAGAGGGGATGCGAACTCAACAGTCCAGGCAGGTTTACTGCTGAACCTGAGAGGGACCCCTCTGTCCTGGCCAGCAGAACAAAGGAAAAAGAGCGTCTCTAACAGGTCGAGGCTTTTTATGGCTAGGGCTTTGGCGGGCTCTTTGAGGGGAGGGGTCAGGGGAAAGGTGGGCTTGTGGGTTGCTGACATGTCCTCTGGAGGATGCTTGTAGCCTAGGTAAGATGACACCTAAGTCCCTCTGAGATGGTGTGTGGGCTTATTCAGAAGACGGTACTCCCGTCCAGACTGTATCACTAACATTTACTGAAGTTTATTAAATGCCCGAATCTCTGCTAAGCGCTTTATTTAACCTACCTCGTTTTCACTCAAGTTCTCCTTTCTCTCGTGAAGGGGGCGTGCCCAGCACCGCGACACGCTTTATCTGTACATTAATTGGTTGAGCTCGAAGCTCGCTACCACTGAGTCCCGACAAGCCACGCCCCCCACGCCGACCGCCGTAGAGAAGGTCCTTGCTCGCCGGGCGGCCAGTGTATTCTCCTGAGAGTCCGGGCGCGTTGGAGGACGGGTGCGGAGTGTGGGAGCGTGTTCGGCGTTCAGGCTGAGCCGGGGCAGGCCGCGCCCCTCGGCACGCAGGCTACCCTCGAGTTCGCGCAGGCGAACTCTGGCCTACGGGGATACAGCGGGCGGAGGCCTACGTTTGGCCTGCGGGCATATAGCCAGCGGAGGCCTGGCTGCTGAGGTACACGGAGAGGCGTCAGAGCCGCTGCCTCCGCCGCCGCGGGAGAGAAGCTCGTTTACAACTCAAGCGAAGAAACTGGAGATGGCCAGCAAATCATGTCCCGAGTGCGACCAACAGGTGGGCGCCGGGGGCCGGGCAAGCGGGCCTGAGTGGCGAGTGCGTGCTAGCGGCGCGCCGTTTCTCGCGGCCTTTGGCTGTGGAGAGGCCGCCTTGCTGGGATCTCCGCGGGCGGGCCCCTGGGCTCGGAGGCCACGGTGGGAGCCCGAGATGAGCCAGGGGGTTGCCGGGGAAACGCCACGGGCCGCATCCCGGCCGGTGCCCACCTGGCAGTGGACAGATCCCCAAGTGTCTGTCCTGTGGCCCGGCCGCGCCGGAGGGGGCCGTGAATCGCCGACGGGCTCCCGGTTGCGACCCTCGCTGAGTGGTCTGGCCGGCTTCTGGTGACAGTGGCGGGAGGCTGGGGGAAGGACAGGAGTCCGTCCATTCTGCCCGGACGCGGATGCCTGATGTGCTGGACTCCGAATACTAGCTCCTGCCACGCAGGGTTGCTTTGTTTACGTTTGAGATATCTAAAGTGGCAAAAGGGGCCACAGTGCAATAGCGTTTCCCTCTTATTAGAGTTCAGTAAATTGGAGATCTTAATATGCTTTTTAATAATTTTAATAACCTCAGTAATTACTCTGGTCAAAATTTTTAGTGGAACACTATTGAATACTGTCCCCATTCATCCCTATTTTTCAAGGTGGTCTCCTCTTAAAGTGGTTTGTATTTGTCTATCTTTTTAAAAGATGAATTTTCCATTCCTACCTATATATTATTTTTTCGGTTTTTAATATCTGCTTTCTAAACTAAATTCATTAGGTCATGAAATGGCTTTATTATCACCAGTGGTCTAGGGTTCAGCTATACGACCAAACTTACAAGGGCTCAGATATGACAAACACTTCATGTTATCAGAACCGCGTCAAAATTGTGGTCACTAAACATTCCAGGGGCTTTCTTGACAGCTCAGATGTAAAGAAACAAAGCCATGCTAGTAACTGGAAGAATTATTGTGGCTTAGAAATTTCATGTTTCTTAGCCCATGAATGAGGTCTTAGCTTCCAAAGTTTTGCAGGGAATGGTGTAGTTACACTGTACTACTGAAGCACAAAACTCTGGCTTTTCATCAGGTTTGCTTTCCAGTCCAGATCCCAACAAGGGATCATTTGTCCATATTGCCTAATAACACTGTGGAAATTCCACCTTTATGAGACTGACAGGGTCAGAATGCTAGAAGAAGATTAACCAAAGGTCTTTTTTCTCATTAAGTTTTGTTAACCCTTTTCTAACATGTCATAATATATTTGTTGAAGAAACTGTTTTTTCCTCTTTGAGTGGTCTGGGCACCATTGTTGAAAATTAGTTGACCATAGATGGATGGGTTTATTTCTGGAGTTGCAAATTCTGTTCTATTGATCTATGTCTATTCTTATGTTAGTACTTCAGTGTTTTGTTTTTTTTTAACTGAGTTACAGGATTTTTTAAAAAACATTAAAAAATTGACATATAATTGACATACCATGTTAGTTTCAGGTATACAATATAATGACTTGATATTTGTATATATTATAAAATGATTACCACAATTACCCACCCACCCCCCTTTTTTTTACAGCAGTTTTAGCCTCACAGCAAAACTGGAAGGTACAAAGATTTCCCATTTACTTCTGCATCCATACATGCATTGCCTTCCCCATTGTAAACATCCCCCACCATAGTGGTACATTTTGTTACAATTGATGAACCTACATTGACACAGCATTATCACCCAAAGTCCATAGTTTACATTATGATTCACTATTGGTGTTTTACATTCTGTGGGTTTGGGTAAATATATCTTCCATTACAGTATCATACAGATTATTTCCCTGCTCTGAAAATCCTCAGTATTTTTGTCTGTTCATCCCTCCTTCCCCTCAACCCCAGGCATCCACTGATCTTTTTTTACTGCCTCCATAGTTTTGCCTTTTCCAGAAAGTCATGTAGTTGGATTCATACAGTATGTAGCCTTTTCAGATTGGCTTCTTTCATTTTATGATGTGCATTGAAGGTTCCTGTGTATCATTTCATAGCTTGCTAGCTTGTTTATTTTTGGCACTGAATAATATTCCATTGTCTGGAATTACCACAGTTTATATACCCATTCATCTACTGAGAGACATCTTGGTTGCTTCTAAGTTTTGGCAATTATGAATTAGGCTGCTATAAACACGGTGTGCCGATTTTTGTGTGGATATAAATTTTGAACTCTTTTGGGTAAATAGCAATGAGTTCAATTGCTGGATCATATGGTAAGAGTATATGTAATCGTGTAAAAAACTGCCAAATTGCCTTCCAAAGTAACTGTAGCATTGGATTCCCACCAGCAGTGAATGAATGCAGGCTCCTGTTGCTCTAGATGCTTGCTAGCATTTGGAGGTGTCTGTTCTAGATTTTAGCTATTCTACTAGGTATGTGTTGGAATCTCATTGTTTTAATTAGCTTTTCCCTGATGACACAAGATTTAGAGCATGTTTTCATATGTTTATATGCCATCTATATATCTCTTTAATGAGGTGTCTTTTAAAATCTTTGGCCCATTTTAAAAATCAGGTTATTTTCTTATTGCTGAGTTTTAAGAGTTCTTCATATATTTTGGGTAGCAGTCCTTTACTTGATATGTGCATTGCAAATACTTGTTTCTCAATCTGTGTCTTGTCTCTTTATTTCTTGGCAGTATCTTTTGCAGGGCATAAAGTTTTAATTTTTATGAAGTCCAACTTATCAGTTCTTTCTTTCATGAATGTGCCTAAAAAGTTATCACCAAACCCAATGTCATTTGGATTTTATCTTGTGTATCTTTGAGGAGTTCTATAGTTTTGTCTTTTATATTTAGTATGATCCATTTTGAGTTATTTTTTGTGAGGGATGTAGGGTCTTAGTCTAGATTCTGTTCTTTGATTAGCTTTTTGTCTTTGCATGTGGATGTCTAGTTGCTCTAGAACCATTTGTTGAAAAGATTGTTCTCCATTGTATTTCCTTTGCTCCTTTGTCAAAAAAAAATCAGCTAATTTACTAGACTGTTTTTCTGTTTCTACACTTTCAGTTCCTTTCCGTTGATCTATTTGTTTTTTCACAAGTACCATACTGTCTCGATTATTATAGCTATATAGTAAGTCTTGAAATTGGGTAGTGTTAATCCTCCATAATCAAATTCTCCTTAAATATTGTGTTTGCTACTGTGGGTGTTTTGCCTCTCCATATAAAGCTAAGAATCTGTTTTTCTACATCCATAAAATAACTTGTTGGGATTTTGATGGGGGATTGCATTGTATCTAGATCACTTGCAAAGAGAGGACTAACATGTTGACAATATTGAATCTTAATATCTATGAACATAGCGTATCCACATATTTCATTTTTCTTTGATTTTGTTCATTAGTTTTACAGTTTCCCATATATTAACCTTGTACACATTTTGTTAGATTTATGCCTAAAAATTCCATTTTCTGGCATGATAACTTAAACGGCATTGTGTATTTTTTTAACTTTTTTTTATTAAGATATTGATATACAATGTCGTAAAGGTGTTACATGAGCAGCACTGTGGTTATTACCTTCACCAGTATTATCAAGTCCCCACCACACACCCCATTGTAGTCACTGTCCATCAGCATAGTAACATGCTGTAGAGTCACTACTTGTCTTCTCTGTGCTATGCTGCCTTCCTTGTGACTCCCCTACATTATGTGTGCTAATCATAATGCCCCTTAATCCCCTTCTCCCTCTCTCCCCACCAACCCTCCTCACCCCCTTCCTTTTGGTTACCGCTAGTCCCTTCTTGGAGTCTGAGTCTGCTCTTTTGTTTCCTCAGTTTTGCTTTGTTGTTACACTCCACAACTGAGTGAAATCATTTGATGCTTGTCTTTCTTCACCTGGCTTATTACACTGAGTATAATACCCTCTAGCTCCATCCATGTTGTTGCAAATGGTAGGATTTGTTTTCTTCTTATGGCTGAATAGTATTGCATTGTGTATATGTACCACATCTTCTTTATCCATTCACCTACTGATGGATACTTAGGTTGCTTCCATATCTTGGATATTATAAATAGTGCTGTGATAAATATAGGGGCACATATGTCTTTTGAATCTGGGATCTTGTTTTCTTTGGGTAAATTCCTAGGAATGGAATTCCTGAGTCAAATGGTATTTCTATTTTTAGTTTTTTGAGGAACCTCCTATTGCTTTTCACAATGGTTGAACTAACTTTTACATTCCCACCAGCAGTGTAGGAGGGTTCCCCTTTCTCTGTATCCTTGGCAGCATTTGTTGTACCAATCAAAAGACATGGAGGGGCAGAGTGGATAAAGAAACAAGGCCTACAAGAGACTCATATCCTGCCCACAAGAGATTCATTTCAGACCCACAGACATACACAGACTAAAAGTGAAGGGATGGAAAAAGATACTTCATGCAAATAATAGGGAGAAAAAAGCAGGAGTAGCAGTATAACAGATAAAATAGATTTCAAAACAAAGAAAATAACAGACAAAAAAGGACATTACATATATAATGATAAAAGGGACCAGGAGGGTATAAGTATTATATATATATCTATGCACCCAACATAGGAGCACCTAAATATGTAAAACAGTAATAACAGAATTAAAGGGGGAAATAGATTGCAACACATTCACTTTAGGAGACCATAACATACCACTCACATCAATAGACTCATCAATCAGACAGAAAATAAGTATGGAAACGGGCACTGAACAGTACATTAGATCAAATGGATTTAACACATCTATAGATCACCCAGAAACAGCAGGAAACACATTTTTCTCAAGTGTACATGGAACATTCTCCAGAATAGATCATAAAAAGAGCCTCAATAAATTAAAAAAGATTGAAATTGTGTCAAGCAGCTTCTCAGACTACAATGGTATGAAACTAGAACTAAGTTACACAAAGAAAACAAAAAAGCCCACAACTACAAGGAGGCTAAACAACATGCTTCTAAATAATCAATGGATCAGTGAACAAATTAAAACAGAAATCATGCAATACATGGAGACAAATGGAAACAAAAA